GCTGGCTGGGGAATTCTGGGAGTTGAAGTCCACTCATCTTAAAGTGGCCAAGTTTGGACAACACTGACATAGACAGACAGATGCCATCTAAAAAGCACTGTTGAAAGGTAGCTTTGGTGTATTACAAGAAGCTTCCATGACTTTGAAGATCTGCACAAAAAACCTTTGATCCTAGTTAACTCTTGCTGAATTAAACAGTTTATGGGAACATTTTATATTTCACACAGTATTTATTAGCAGGTACAGACTGTATTTGAAGTTAGTGTTGTCAATTACAGATAGTCTTTGGGTTACGATGGCAATTGGGACTGGAACTGCTGTCACTAAGCGATGCAGTTGTAAAGGGTGACATCAAGTGACTGTGTCACTAAGTCATTAAGCAAGGACCATGCAGGTGGTTAAGTGAGGAACCTCATGTGACCATGACTTGCAACCTCCTGCTGGCTTCCCCACTGACTCTGCTTATGGGAAGCTGGTAGGGAACATCAGAAATCATGATCACATGACTGTGGCTCGCTGCAACATTGTAATTGCGATCCAGGTGCCAAGCACATGATTGCGATCACGTGACCGCGGGGATGCTGTGATGTTGTAAGTCCTTCTTGTTCAGTGCTGTCACAAGTTTGAACGGTCGCTGAATGAGTGGTTGTAACCTGAGGACCACCTGTAGAAGTCAATGCTGTTTACCCTCATTGATGCTTCTCAGTTGCCACTAAGTCTGCTTGCCTGCTAAGGATTCCTTCACCTAACACTTCCTTGGCATGCTCTCACAACCCTTTATCTCCACATTGTTGCACCCAACACCTAACTGTGCCAAACACTTCACTGATGTTTGTCCTTCCCCCTCCCCTGCCTCAGCCTGATTATTTTATTGTAAAAATATGGATTGTGTGTGTGAGTATGGGATCTATATATTAAGAGGAACTGATGTCCAAGGCATCTGAAGAAATCGCTGAAGTGATTAGAAAATAAGTGCATATAATTATGCTTTATATTACATTTGTTGGAAATGAAAGTGGTAATTCCTAGTTACTGCTAAGGTAATCTTCCAGTGCTATCTAGGAATTTGGGCAGTTAAAGTGCCCAGAAAAAACAAATTAGAAGGCAATTGTTTCTGCAAAGATGTCAATACAGTATATAATAATTTCTGAAATATCTTTTTCTATTTTTGGATTCATCAGGATTGTCACTAATAAACCTGGCAAGTTTCAAATTAAATTTTTTTTTAATGATAATATGATATTAAGCTCCTTCCAATTTCCACATCTACTTCAAAAAGCCAGCAAATTAGAAATTAAGTACTTCATAACCATGCAACAGAAGTTTAAAGACTCTGTTGCGCTCATATACCATTGGCGGTTGCTGCTGCTGCAAACTGTTGGGAGGGTACAATTTTCTGAAATTGAAAGCTAGGAATAAAGCTTATACAGAAAAAACCCTTGCTGTAGGGAAGATAGGAAGGAAGGGAGAAAACAGAAACGAAATACATTGCGATAGAGATAGGAGCGTGAATAGATATATACCTTAATGAATGGGAATGAGTGAGGATGGATGGATGGATGGGTGTGTGTGTGTGTGTGTGTGTGTGTGAAACAGAGGGAGAGATGTGTGTTATTCTGGTACAAGCTTTTGGCTTTGACCCTACCCACTGCCTGCTCTGCTTCTGAGTGGAATGTAGCTTTTGGAAAGGTAAAACTCCTCCAGCCTTGACCTGGGATGCACCAGTAGATCCAAACAATATGAGGAGCCATTAGGATTTACCTTTTTATTACCTTTAGCTGCTTGTGTTTATATTATAAACTGTCTCAGGAAACGTGTAACCATGAAACGGTATTTGAAGATACATTCTTCCCTTCACATACTGTCTCTGGAGCTCGGGCTTTTGGCAAGTGATAATTATAATCCAAAACTAAGTAGCCAACAGTTATAATGCCATTCATAAATTGCACCCTTAAATCCTCTACACTCTCGTCATCTAAACTTGCCTGTATGGTTATTAACTAAATCATCCTCTTACCTAATGAGCTCTTCTTGGCTTTTTTCTTTTTGGGGCGACTGAGAGGAATTTCATCTGCAAAACCAAAACCCAAGAACTAGCTGGTCCCATAATAGTAAACATACATTAACATACAGATAATACTTTCAAGTACAGTATTCAAACTATTTCATGTGCATTATCTAGCTGTGTATTTACAGCAGTCCAATCATTTCAATGCTCATTCCCCAGTTTGGAGACATGATTTTGGAACTCTATGCCGTTCCTTTTCATTTCAACCATCTAAATATTTTAGAATCTTGGCCACCTCACTATCCTAAACTCCAGGTTATTTATGAATAAGTTAAAAGCATTGATTCCAATGCAGTTCCTTGGGGAATGCTACTAGTTACATTGCTCTTACTTTGTACTCTTACCTTGCTGCTTCCAAATTGTTCCTAATGCTACCACAAGAGACGCTGTGCAATCACTCCCTTTTTTCTCATATTAAAAAAAAAAAAAAAGCTGCAGTAGAAAAACACAAGTTACAAACTGGAGGCAATATTATGTGGATTCTGCATAAAATTCCATGACTGAAGCAGGTGATGACTAGTTAAATGCTTTGCCAGGAAGAATTTTCCCTAACCAATTGCCAGTCCATAAGAGGACCAGAGTTTATTGTAAGCCAACTTGAGAGCTGATCTGATCTTCTAAAAAGTATTCTATCCGTTATTCTTTGCTCTGTTCAATAGAAAAAAAGTGTTCTTAAAATGCAACTATTTTACTGTAACTACTATAATTTAGGTTGCAGCTTCCACTTACCTGGGAATATCACTAACATAATGAAGTTTATTTTTGAATAGCTATGCACAGGACTGTATTATTTCAACATTAGGGAATATTTTAACAAGAAATTCTTTATCTTCACTATGAATACCTGAAGACACAAATTAAAAACCTATACAACTTTTTACAGAATCTAATTCACTTTCCTCTATGACAACCATTATTCTTTTTCTAAAAACATATATTTAATTAAATATTCTAAAGAGAAAATTAGTAAACAGAAAAGAGAAAAGGGGGACAAAAAGTGGAGTATGGAGTACACAGATAGGGGGTTTACAAGTATCATACTATTTTTAATATTTCATTAATTGATCATAAATGGGTATTACATTGTTTTAAAAAACTATTTATTGCTGTAAAGCTCTAAAGAGAATATAAATACAGGAATAGTAGTCAGCATAGTATAGATAATACAATAATAAATAATAATAAATTACAATCAATTTTATCCATACGTCTAAAAGTCTTTTCTGATTTAAAAGATCCAATGAAGCTGTAATAATAAGGACAACCATTATTGTTTCTGAAAACCTATACCACTGTTAAATATGATTGGTTTTCATTGGCTAAGTTAAAAATATGATTTTATTTATTTATTTAAATGTATATAGTAGCCCACCTCACGTGATTCTGGGCAGTTCACAAGTTAAAACAGCAAACTAATTAATGAATGAATGGAAAAAGGTTTGGGGAAAATGAATAGTACTCACCTTGGTTTCCACTTCAGATTAATATTTTCCAAATCAAAGTGAAATGAAATTAGAAATATAACATGTTAATATTGAAATATATAATACATAATACTAAATTTGAAAAACATAATAAAATTCACCCACATAATAGCTATAGCTACAAAAAAAAGTTAAGGATTATAGTTTCCTTGAAATTTTTTAATCTGTCCATTCTATTTTTGCAGTAAATTGTAATTTTACCTTGGTACTGGAGGAAGAATCCGGGGTGGACGCTGCAATGTATATAAAAATATATAACTCAATATATATTTTTCAAAAACTTATTTTAGCACATACTCAGCAGTTGTATATAAGAATGTATACATTCTTGTATAAAGTGGGCCCTTAAACATTTATTGAAACAGATGCATAGATTTCTGAAGGTATTACTGGAGGAACATCAAAACTATTACTTTTACAATTCTGCTTCTAAACTTCTATTCTAGCAAAGTACATAAGATAATTCACAATAATCAAAATCAAGCAAGAAGCTTAAAAAGCATAAACATCAATTTTAGAGCAGTAGCATTATTCACAATAAAGGTGGTCTTCTAGAAAAGCCTGCCTAATCACAATAATTTTCTTTGCTCCACTGAAATGTGCAATGGAATTGAATCAATGTCCAACCAGGTACCTCACAAGATGCACACATTTTAAAAAGCAGTAAAAAATCCCATTTACTGTTAAATGAACTGTATCCTCCACACCTGAAAACAGTGAGACAATTCTGAAATCAGATCTTTCATGGTATAAACGAAACCCAAGAAAAAATGAAGCTAGAGACTCAGGCACAGTCTTTATCTTAATTTCTTTTAGAAAAACAAATGTATGACAATTCAAAACAGGACTCACCACTTGCTTCTTCCCCATATCCCTTAGTGAGACTACATGTGAAGTAAAACAACAAGGCCCTATACCTACAATGACTCCTGTTAATTCTGTACTAAAAATAAACATCCAATACCCAGGATTAGCTGGACATGAACTTTTGCCCCACCTAGTTTAGGGCTGGAGGTTGCACTTATTAAAGACCATTATTTTATTATGGATTGCCCTACAGAAGTAGATTCTCAGTGGCACCCGCTACTCAAACCTCTTGTGTCTCTCAAAAGTAAGGCTCTGTTATGCTAATCTTAGTTAGTTAGGGAATAAGTATGTAAAAATCGAGTTTAACTTTCCTATTTCAATTTCTTTTGGTAAAAAAAGAATGTTAATTCTGAAATGAAGTTTCATGGGGGGCGGTTTATACTGAAATGGAATTCTGTACTACACTGAACTTACAAATTTATAGATTTATAAATGATCTGTTGAATTATCTGATAGCATACGGCATTTGAAGCTAACGGGACTTACAATACTGTATGGCCCTTATCACTGCTACTCCATTACACCTCTGCTGCTTTCTTAGCAACTCTAGCTAAACAATAATTCCTAACAGGGAGAGAAATTAAGGCTTAAATTGTATACACATTAAAACTCCTTTGAGGCAATTTTCTTCAAGGTAAGCCAGAAAGGAGGAAGCACAAGGAGAACAAGCTCTACTACCAGTTTTAGTGTCCTCATCATCACTCTTCGGAACAGCAAGTGCAAGGAAGCCTTCTGAAGCAAGCCGCTTTCCCACTGGCTTCCAGTAAGATTTAGAAGAATCCTAAAAACTCAGGATTCCAAATTACTTGAGGAAATGTATCACACCCCAATTCTAAGATAATTCTCCAGCTTCTGGAGAATTGATGGAGGCTTTTTCCTTCCACAGCAGTGTTTCTCAACCTTGGGAACTTTAAGACGTGTGGACTTCAACTCCCAGAATTCCCCTCCCCCAACCAGTGCCTGGGGGATTCTTGGGGGGTGTATCGAACA